CTGCACATTTTTAAAAAAGACGACCAACTGTTAATTTCCGTAAGTTATTTTTGGGAAAAATAAAAGCAAAATTACAGAAAGTATTCTTTAAAGCTGAATATAAATTCAACTCTATGAGTCACTTAATGTATTCAGTATGTTTCGAAATACTTTGGAAAATCAATTTCTATCCCTTTGTTTAGGCTCGATATATCTTATGATTTCAAAGCCCTAGAATTGATTGCTATCTGAATGAATATACAGAATTGTGAAGACTAACAGATTTAATTAAAAGCATGTTTCAGAAAAAAAATAACTTGATACAAATGAAAATTAGATGAAATTGTTAGGGATATCGGATAAAGAAGATATATCTTCACTCCATTGTTTAAACAAACATAAATATTAACCTTTCAGTACTAGCACTGATGTACAAAGTAAAACACGAAAACAATATGTGAAACCTACTGACGTTGGAGCTCGCTCAGCGTGAAACTAAACATGGCTCATTAAATTTAATATCCACGTCCAATAGACCAATACTTTTTATTTACTGAAAGGAATTTAGTGAAAGGATAAAAAGTGATTTAAGAAGATTCCCAAAATTCTGGGGCTTTGACATTTGTGTAGAGTCTGAAGTTAGAACTTTTCTTCAAAATTTGTGATTAAAGGGTGTCCCACATCAAATTGCATCACGGAAAAAACGCTGTAGAAAATTACCCAAAAAGTTGAATCTGTCCAACTATTTCGTTTAGAGAGCCAAGGACCGGGAGAGACTGCATACGTACAAAGTGCAGAAGGCTCCAAATCGTGACGAACGAAAAAAATGGATCAAAGTGTTGGTTTCAAACAAATATTGAGGAGGAATCCCACATAATTTTCGAAGGAGAAGTTCTGAGCAGAATGGATGTTCTATTAGTGATCATGATCACAAGCGTGTCGTGAAAGCGTTTAAGCGGAATCCCAATGCTTCGGTCAGGGATGTTATCAAAAAGTTGAATCTGTCCAAATCTTTCGTTCAGAGAGTCAAGGACCGGGAGGGACTACATACGTACGAAATGCAGAAGGCTCCAAATCCAGACGAACGGCAAAATACGGTGGGAAAGTCACGGGCCCGGAAACTGTACACCCAGATGCTGGCGAAGCCTCATTGCCTCATCATGGATGATGAGACTTACGTCAATGCGGACTTCCGGCAGCTTCCGGGGCTACTGTTCTTCACCGCCTATCACAAGTTTGATGTTCCGGAGGAAGTAAGGAAGCAGAAACATTCAAAGTTTGCCAAGAAATACATGTTTGTGTCTACAGAAGCGTCTGCTACCTCTATTCAAGCAACAACTACGATCTTCTGGCTGAATCTAGCTTCGTGCCACTATTCAAATGTTGTCCTGGAGTGATACGAAGCCAACGGGATCACTTTCATACCCAAGGACATGAAGGACGTATATCCGCAGCAATTGCAACGAAAGCCGCTTCCTTTACAGCAATGACCTCCGGAAATGACAGGATCTTTCTCTTCAATGAGGGGAACAGACTCCTCCGCATGACTGCCAATTCGGAACTCCCCCCGTGGCCAAGGTCCACTGATACGGAGGCAAAAGTTGGAGCATACATCCACCAAAAATCGAGAGTCGGATGAAGAGCAGGTTCAAGGCTGGAGATAAATCTCCAGCGCTGAGGAGATCAGTAGCTGAACTGCTAGGTTCGGACTACCCAACCCATGCCCAGATATACACGGACGGATCGCTTTCCCGAGCCGTTACAATACCCTCGAACCGGCCCATACTGGTGCTATCTGATTCTTTCAGCGTGATATAAGCCCTTACACCTGAGACCCCGACTCACCCTTGGATACAAGGTATCGTGCAGGCCACACTTCCGAACACGGTGTTTTCCTGGTGGTGTTTTCCAGGTAATAGCGAAGCCGACAGTCTGACAGGGTCTGAACAAGCTGGCCCCCGTTACACCGACGAAGTGCCACTACAGGACATAAAGCGATGGATAGTTAGCAAAATGTGGGAAGCCTGGGAAGCAGAGTGGTGCCAATCCTAATCCCTCTTCATCCGAAGAATCGAAGGAACGACGAGCAAGTGGACGGATATGTCGAAACTACGGGACCAGAAGGTGGTCTCTCGTCTTAGGACAGGCCATACAAGGATCTCACATAGCTTTGGTGGGACGCAGTTCCACAGAATGTGCTATAGCGTTTGCGGAACCACTGCATCGGTTGAACACATCCTATGCCTGTGTCCGCAATACCAACATCTACGGGAGCAGTACGCACTTCCCAACAGCATTAGGGACATACTGGGCGACGAACCTTCCACTTTAGCGACAGTTATTTAGTTCCTCAGGGACGCTGGCCTATACAACAACATTTAGGTCCATTGAACTTTCTTTTGGCTGACGGGATCACCCCTCCTACGGTGGCGCTCCGATCTCTTTCAGAACCCCACTTAACGTTGATGTACCAGATTGCTTTTTTTTCGTTGCCTGTATTGTTAGTCTTTTACTGGAATCTGTTTTAATTGCTTCTATTTGAGTACATGTGAATTGTAAGCCAACTCCGTAACAAAATGTGCAGGCAGAACCCCCCTCTGGGGCCCCCTATTCTGTAGAGATGAACTAACCAACGGCTAAAAATCTCTCTAATAAAGACAAAAGAAGAAGAAGAAGAAGAAGAAGAAGAAGGAATTTGTTATTAAATTTCACGTATTGCGTGGACCCCCGGTAATATGATTGTTTTTATCCTGAACACTTTTAGCGGCTCCGGTGGTGTAGTGGTAAGCGTGATTACTTCTCACCCCAGCAGGCCTGGATTCAATCCCAGTCGGCGCCGCTGGGATGTTCTGAGGCATAACATCTCTGATCACGCCTTCCTTCGGAACGGAAGTAAAGCCGTTGGTCCCCGGTTCACGAGTTGATGGGTCGATAGGTAGGGTCCAGGTGTAGGAGCTGCCTCCTTGCCTCCCTGCCTCCCTGCCTCGGTAGCATTGGTGCTCAGCACGGAAAACAAGATCGACGGAAAAACAAATCAAGAAAAAAAAATCCTGAACACTTTTTAGTTGGAATATCGGTAATCTGCAGGCCGTACAAACTAAAAATTCCTCAAACGTCATTTAGCCCATGGAATGGAGTAAAGTAAAATGGAATGATCTTAAATGGAACGCATAATCATAACAAACCAGCAAATAGGGTTACCAGAAACTCGCTTTTGAGGGTTACTAGAAGTTCAAATAAAAAAATAACCCCGTGTCGTTCAGATTAACGGGGGTCCACGGTATAGTTAGCATTTCCAGGCCAAACAGCAAATACAAATTGAACTACAGACTCGACCTTCTCCGATTTACATGAAACTTTGCATAACTATTTGTTCTGATCAATCATTCACATTTTTGATAAAATTCGGCCATTTTTGGAATGTCGCAAAAAACTTCAAAACGGTGTATTCGAGATTTTTCATCAATTTTTTTTACCGTGTATATTTTTCCTGAAAATATATTATTATTTCCAAAAACTTTGCCTCAGCCGGCATTTCTTTTGGAAGTAACTTTTTCGAGTTATGATTTGTTGAAAATTTTCTAAAACGTCATTTTGAAGTTTTTGCGTGATTGAAAATGGTCGATTTTTAGCAAAAATGTGGATGTTTGTCTATGACAAACAATTATGCAAAAATTCATGTAAATCGGAGAAGGCCACATCGGATCGATTCGGTATTTGGCGTAAAACTGCTAACAGTTTTCAAGCAGCACCGGGGAGATTCGGGCATAAATACCCAAGTAACATTACAAGTTTTATTATGGTTTTGAAGCATGCTACAAGTCCAAATCATGGCCTACAGAACCCTCATGAAACCAAAATTGTTACTTGAGTTAGACCAATAACTTTGCTGCGTAGATTTGTCAAGATTTGAGGAACGGTTCATTATGCGAGCATTTCCTCAGATCAATGGTAAATTTAGAACAAAAATGGGGCAAAATAAGCCACTCAGCTGCCATCCATGGAACCATCATTAATCGATTTGTCGTGATGTTTTACATAAGAATAGGTCATTTTATGGACCTCAAACAACGTCAAGAATAAGTTGAATTTTTTGGCTCGATTTTGCACATGAAAGGTGGTTTGAAAGTACCAAAAATTATTTACGTAAGCATTGCATGACCCCTTGTAGCCTGTTTATCCATATTTTTATGAGGCTTTAAATTCTGTTTCTCTGTTGCTTTTCTGTTTTATGTTGTTTTAGTTTTTATTCTTTAAGACAATTTTCTGTCAGATGAAATATATTATATGAGAAAATTAAATTAAATTACCCCCATATATATGTGCGTTGCATGATTTGCATGATTTTTCTTTAGTTGGCGGCTAGAACCACTCACTCTGGTTAAAAGTAGGGAACTAGTAGTAGTAAGACTTTATAACCAAATCGTTAATTCTACCGAATCGTCGGACGAAGATAAAATAACAAGTTTTCGATCCATCCCAAGACTGAATGAGACAATCCCTATATGCATGCCATAATCAGACACATCCTGTATTTCAGAAATCCCGCATAAGATTGAAATGCATTCGCATGAATATAGCATTCCTGACTGCATATTTAGTACATTTACAACAAAAGACTTCAACAGGCAATGTTTCAAGAGACGAACCTGTTCCTACTCCTGGCATCCGCAGATCAAGCATTGCTAAATACTGTTATTGTGTAAAAATATGACTTTCATGTTTTCATAATCATCTCTTGCATTAAATTAGGCGTGTGTTTTTTCCCTCTAGGAAAAAGAAAAGAACGAACAGAAACATTTTTCCGCTTCATTATGGTCCCGAAGGGGCCAAAAGCCATAAACAACGCAAAGAGTTAGTGCGCGCAAGGCACGCTTGCAATTTTGCATTTTTCCCTCTGTGCAGCAGTATGCACAAGATGCCACTCACCATCTCCACCAACATCTACACACATCACAATTATCCGCACCATTTTAATGCATCTGGTTTTCTTCTTTCCCTTCTTCCCGTTTCGTTTCCAGATCGAAATCAATAGACCATGTGAAACAGGACAAATACCCCTAGACATGCATAATGAGTCTACAGTACAATCAACGAGGGACAAACCGCTCCCGAACAGTGTACCGGTAAGTTGCTTCCACCACAACACCAAAATGAGAACAAAAAGGGAAAATTCTTCAGTACTTGCGGCGTAAGAAAAGCGACGCGACGATGCGATGGTTGGATAGGAATTTCAAGTATGCTCACTCATATCAAAACCATAATTATCGAACGGCTGGCTGTGGGGTGTGGGGATGCGGAGAGGGCAACAATGACAAGCAGATGCATGTATTGATGCATACCTGCATTGCACTGGTGGGCAGTGTAGTGATCGCTATCAGGTTTGTCATCAACTATTTACTTGTATTCGTTGGGGCTTAGGGTTGGTAAACTTTTGTTTACTGAGTTATAAATTCCTTTCCTTTAACAATAGATTCATGATAACAACATAAAATATTTAATTAGATAATTATTGAGCGCTTAGTTATAATCCCAGTACAAATAATTCGGTAAATAAATCTTTCAAATATGAGTACATATAGAGAAGAAACACACATATTTCTCAAGACTTGCTCCGAAGTTCTCTGGGCTCACCAATTTATATTGTAATTGAGAGACCTCAAGTAACCAAGAAACCCGATAATTGCTTTTTTACCACATAAAACTACCACGCTTTATATTAGCCGTTTGCTAGTTTTATATTGCAAAAAAAAACAAACAAATGAGTGGACTTGGACCGTTCAATCCTTTTTCCTTGTTGTAATAAACCTTAAAAAAAAGTCTCCCATGTAATCCAAGCACCACGGAAATGATTTTTGCAGGCGTCGCCACACTCGCCACCAACCGGTTTCATATGATTATCCGGTAACTGAAAACCTTTTTGCCAACCCTAGTACAAACATTCACCTGATAGTAATCTACCACTTGATTACAATGTAATTTCTCCCTTTCAACACTCCATCTGCTTAAGTGCACCGAGCGCAGCTTCCCATCATTAACCGGAGTATTTAAAAAATGAGCTAAAGACATCCCCCCTTTTTCTTGCTGTCATTGCCCATCGTTGGCATGTCCAACTTTGGGCAGCTGGCTTCCTTAGTGCTGGGTATGCCAACTAACGTTAACTACCTAGATATATCGACAAAGTCTAAAGACAAATTCTTACACGTACGCGCGCGCTTTTTTTTTTAGCGAAGCTAGTGCAATGCGCAATGTTGATGGAATAATTAAAATTTCGTCAATAATGTGCCGTGTCTCTTTCGTTCGCCCACCGCACACAACTACGGATAATTACATTGCTCTCGAGCAATCGCGGCTGGAGCTATAAACAGACTCAGCGGGGTTTCAGCAACAGCAGCCACAACTCGGATGCATGAGATGATGAAAAGTACTTACGATAAATTTTACAAGATAACGCCCGGCATAAACGCTGTTGTTGGCTGTTGATCACCAGCGGATGAGACCCCGAAGTGTTATGCGTGTTTGAACGGCTGCGGTGCGAGCTAGATGTCATGAGCAATAGCTTATGACAGTTTGCATGACGATGAAAGAAACAAGAGATGGTTTTAGCACCCACTGTGGAACAGTGATTTCATTTTACGTTTTTTGAAATATGTACTTCAACCCGCTCAAAGGTGAAGTAATTATGGTTGATTAGGCAAAAATTGCGGGTGTTTATAGACGACTGACACGAGTCACATTTTTCCCAAGGGAAAATTAATCATGTTAGTGGGTGTAATACACGCACTGGATTGAAAAACTAAAAATTCAGTGCAGTCGTTGATCTGGCAATCGTAGCAAAAAATATATATTAATGCACAGTGGGCCAGTTATTAAATCTAGCAGGAAAAATATAATAACACTCTGGGATTGCATCCAATTGAGCAGACGACTTCAATGAAGTTTCTTTGATTAATTAGGACTACAATTTGGTGGAAGTGGCACCGGTGATGTAGTGGGAAGCGTGATTGCCTCTCACCCCGCAAAGCCTAGGTTCAATCCCAGTCGGGGCCGCCGGGATTTTGTGAGGTATAAAATCTCTGATCACATCTTCCGTAAGACCGTTGGTCATGCTTGGCATACACAGTTTTGGTCACGAACTGCTCATTAGCTAATAACTTTGCACACAGTTGACGAAACATAGTTCTTTGTGAAGCAGTAAGCTTGAGTTTAAGATTGTTATAGAAACGTAAAAATAAGTAGAGTTCAATTCTAGTAATAAACTGTATTTGTTTTTGCGTTGTAAAAATGAAGTGAGAAATGATCGCTGCACATCTCGGACTTTAAGTGTAAAAAATCATTGGTGTTGATTCAAGTGTTAAGATTTACCTACTCTCTGCATATCTATAGTAAACTATGATCCTAATCTATCAATTACTTTAAAAAACAAACAAATTTCAACAACTGAGTGAAAATCTATTAACAAATGAGCAGTTGGGTGTAAAACTGTGCATGCCAAGCATGCCGTTGGTCCCCGGTCCATGAGTTGATGGGTCGATAGGTAGGGTCCAGGCGTCGGTAGCTTTGGTACTTAGTACGTAAAACAAGATCGATGAAAAACAAACCAAGGAAAAAAAATTAACACAACTACTAATTAGCTAAACAACACATGACTTTATTTTCACAAATCAAAAAAGTTTGTTTTTTAATGTCTTTAATATATCCCACTAAAAGGATGGGATTTTTAAGCACAAAAACTTCACCGAATACACCAAACATCTAAATATAACAGGACTACTATTCCTACTAAATTAACATTCTGGACCACTGAGCAGTGATGCTGTTTAAACTAGTCCTGAAATAGTCCAGGTATAGCGATAAACACTTCCTAGTAGTTCGGCCGGCTGGTGATGTGCATGTCACTGGCGTGTACAGGGTGGGGCAAGGTGGGGCAATTGCCCCTCCTTTTATTAACAAGATTTTTATTTTCACATTTACAAAATTATGATATAAAATAACTTGATTTATTGATAACTTGATTTGAAGGAAAAATAACTTCATTTCATAAAACAAGAGCACGGAAAATCTTTTATTGCGTCAATTCTTTTGAGATGGTCCCTGAAAATTGCACCACAAAGATGCATGAAGGGACAAACTTCAATGAAAGTTTTTGCACAAAAAATTGCAGCTTATGGTGCATACAAAAAAATTCTGGAGTATTTTGTTTTTTTTTCAAGGTGGTTCATGGAGGGTTAAAAGAAGAGGGTAAATTGAGGTTGAAAAAATTCACCTTTATGATGGTAGATCGAATAAAAAACTTTTGAAATTTTTGCTCCACAGTGCTCAAACGGTTCCAAATTGGGCCCTGATTAGGCTCTTAAAATTTGAACTCATTTTGTGAGAAACTGACTTGGCACAAACCATTTGAAGTTTATATGGGAATTACTATGGAGAAACCATAATTTCGGTTCATATCTGTCTCAAAATTCACCAGTTCACTCTACTGAGCTTGTTGAAAATTCTAAGCTACAACTTTGTTGAAGACCATTTTTCGATCAAATGTAAGGAACAAAAGTTATTAATGATTCAAGTCACTGATGTCTTATGATTATGCTCAATCAACTGTTCAGCAGGCAACATTGGTGTTTATGGCGCGTAGAATAGAGGACAAAAATCATGGCTACTATGTCACACTGCAGAATACAGTGTTGCCCACAGAACAGCTGCTTGATCATGCTATAAGATTATCAATCTCTTAAACAATTAATAACTATTTAATTTGACATTTGGTTGAAAAACGATATTCCGCTAAGTTGTAGCTTAGAAAATTTTCCAAGAGAATAGTTATTGAAATTTTCGAAAAAGCATTATGGAAAATGGGTAGAAGACAATGAACAAGAAGTTTGGTTTTCCCATAGTAATTTCCATATAAACTTCGAATAGTTTGTGCCAAGTCAGTTTCTTACCAAATGAGCTTAAATTTTGGGAGGCTAATCAGGACCTGATTTGAAACCGTTTGAGCACTGTGGAGCGAAAATTTCAAATTTTGCATCAGTCTAGCGGACAACTTAAACTTGATTTCCGAGAAGAACTTTATGGGTATTGAATTCTTTTGACAGTTCTAAAAGAAAAGATTTCTGGAGATGATTCCATGAAAATTCTGCGAATAATTTCTAGTGAATCCTGCAGATAGTTCCAAGATAATTTCGAAAAAAATACCGAGAGAATCAAATTTTGAATGAAATTCCAAAGGGATGTTAAGAAAAATTTCAATGGAGTTCAAAGGATAATTTCAAGCTCATTCTGGGAAGACTTTCTGGAGAATGCAGAGGAAATTTTTCTTAAACTTTAGGGGAATTTCAGGGGAGTTCTGTTCTGAGAAAAAAAAGTTCTAAAATATTCCGAGAAGAATCTCAAGGATATTGAATTCATATGACAGTTAGAAAATATTTCTGGGGAGAATTCAAAGAAAATTCTGCAGATAATTTTTAGTGCCCTTTGCAGATAGTTCCAAGACAATTTCGAAAAGAATACCGAGAAAATCCAATTTTGAGTGTAATTTCTAAGGGATTTTAAGCAAATTTTTTTCGGAAATTCGGAGGATAATTTCTAGCTCATTCAGATCCAATGTGTTCAGAGAAAAAATCATGAAGAGTTCTAAATATAATTCCAGTGGACTTCTGAGAAGAATTTCAAAAGAGCTCTTAGGAGAGTTCTAAAAAAAATCCCAGAAGAAACTCAAGGATATTGAATTCTGATGACAGGTGATGATTTCTGGGGAGTATTCCAAGAAAATTCTGCGAATAATTTCTAGTGAATCCTGCAGATAGTTCCAAGATAATTCCGAAAATAATACCAAGAAAATTAATTTTTGAGTGAAATTTCAAAGGGATTTTGAGGATAATTTCAAGGGAGTACCGATAATTTCTAGCTCATTTCCGGGAATAATTTCTGGATAATACTGAGGAAATTCTTCTGAAACTCCAAAGGAATTTCAAATCCAAGGTGTTCTGAGCAAAAGTCAAGAAGAGTTCTAAAAATACACTGGAGTCGCTTTTTACGCGGTTTTTTTTACACGGTTTTTTTTACGTGGATTTCGGAATTTACGCGGTTTTTTTTACGCGGTTTTTTTTTTACGCGAAGGACTTTT